TCTAATGAATTGGCATGATTCTGGAACCATTTCATGTTTTAGAGTAACAGGTTATAAAAACTTCATGCACTCAGCATGTCAGTGCCATGAATTTCTCAGAACCTGCTTCACGGAGTCTCACAACTACTGTACTATTTCTTCTTCAGGCCAGTATTGAAACAGGGGACCGTGTCTGGAGGATGCCTCTTTTTGAACATTATACAAAACAGGTGGTAGATTGCCAACTTGCTGACGTTAATAACATTGGGAAATACCGGTATGTACGATAAGCTGAATGTACATTTTTACAATCATAGTTGGTTGCTAAAATGACTATTTTTAATTTATGTCTCCTTTACAAAAGTTTCCTTTTCATGTAGTGCTAGTAAGCTATTGATATCTTAATTTTTAAGGCATTTCTCCAATTGGTTCTTGAAATGTTTGTTTTTCAAGTCTACAGATCATTTTAAACAAATAATAAGAAAAAGAAGATAAGGGATTTTTTTTACCATAATCTAGAATTTCTCTCTTACTGCTTAAAGCTATATCAAAAAATAGATATGCTGCAAGTGGTTTGTGGGTTAATAACTTTTTTTTGTCGTTTTGCCAGTGTTGCTGTTGCCCAAGCTGGAGTGCAGTGGTGCAGTCTAGCTCACGATAACCTGCAATTCCTGGGCTCAGGGGTTCCTCCTGTCTCAGCCTCCCAAGTAGCAGGGACTTCAGGCTCACCACAATGCCCAGCTAATTTTTTCTATTTTTAGTAGAGACAACCTCTTGCTCTTGGTCAGACACTTCTCAAACTCCTGACCTCCTCCTGCCTTAGCCTCCCAGAGTACTAGGATTACAGGCATGAACCATGGTGCCCAGCCTGGGTTAACTTAACAGGTCCTGTAAGCTTGACTCTTATTCTCTGGTCATAGAACCTACTTAGCAAGAGCATAAGATCTTGATGACATTCTAGTGCACATTTACATGGAGTTAAATAATGCTTTCTGTCTTTCTTGCCAGCTCTGCGGGAGCATGCACAGCAGCAGCATTCCTGAAAGAGTTTGTGACTCATCCTAAGTGGGCACATTTAGACATAGCAGGTGTGATGACCAACAAAGATGAGGTTCCCTATCTACGGAAAGGCATGACCGGGAGGCCCACGAGGACCCTGATAGAGTTTTTGCTGCGTTTCAGCCAAGACAGTGCTTAGTTCCAATGCTCAGCCATTTCTTCATTCTGTCTTTAGTTGGACAGTTGAGCATCAAAAGATTTTTGAATGAATGGATGAAAATCTTGGAAACAAGGGATGATATTTAAAAATGTAAAATTCCAGTAAAATTTGTATGCCTTGGTTTGTTGGTTTTTTTTTCATTTTATGCAAAGATTGTCTTGTTTGGCAAGGATTTTTAAGATATTCCATCAGTGATGATTAAATTTTATAAGACTTCCTAATCACTTCTCAGAGTATATGTTTTTAATTGAGAAGCAAAATTGTTATTTCAGATTTGTGATGCTAGTAATGTGAACGAACTAGAAGTTACTATGCAGTTGTCAGAAATAAATAAATCCAACTTTCTCTGCTCTCTGCTGTGGCTCTGATATTTACTTGTATGTACTACAAACTCAGTAACTTTACTATAACATACATCTGGTATTGTCTCAGTGCCAACCATCCCTTTCAGGCACTCTGTTATTGAGCTTATCAGTTTGTACAACAGTGGCTTCCACTTTTGGAAACAATGATTTCCAAAATAAATCAGTCATGCAGTAATTGTACAATATAAACTAACAACCGGAGACTTACTATCTGCCAGGGACTGTCCTAAGTGTTTTCAGGCATTAAATTATTGAATCCTTATACTAATCCAACGAGGCAAATACTGTTATTACCCTCAAACACTACACATGAGGAAAATGGGGCACAAGAGGGATTTGGTAACATGCTGGCAGTTAGGGAGCTAGTAAATTGGTGTTGCAGAGTTCAACTCAACTAATCTGGAGAGTGGGCGTGCTGCACCGGTACCCTGTGATGTTGAGTTCAGTGACTTGAATGGGTGTGTAATTTATGTGCAATATTGGAGTAAAAAACAAGACCATAAAAGGGACTGCTGGGTGGCGCCTGTGGCTCAGAAGGGTAGGGCACCAATCCCATATGCTGGAGGTGGTGGGTTCAAACCCAGCCCGGGCCAAAAATGAAAAAAAAGGGTGACTGCTAATAATAGGTAAACTTAATATTTGCTCACCTTGTAGGACTACAACCAATCAACAGAATTCTGTTTGTCCAGACTTAGAACAAAGCTCTCTCTTTTTTATAACTTTCATATCAGATAGATCAAATTATCCATGAATAGGGTCTATGCCCTTTTTAACTTTGAAAACATTTGGAAAGAAAAGCTGTTTTTTGAGGTTAAAGTTACCATTTAAAAAATTTGACATATAAGAGAGTATTGTATAACTAAACTGGGTTATAGAAGGAGTGGAAACAGGCGTGCTTATTCACAACAGTTACTAGAATTCAAGAAAAATCTGGCAAGAGTAGCAAGTAACACAGGTTCCCTGTAGTATCCATACAGAAACTCCATCAAGAAAGATGGCATCAAAAGTTGAACTACTTGGGGGATGAAGGAAATTAAACATTTCTGGGTGATTCAGAAGGGTCAGCAGAACGTTGATAGGCAGTTTTCTGTCAAAGGCTTTTTATGGGTAAAAGAACAATAGAACTCTTGTGTTTACTTATGTGTAGAATACAAAAGGCAGCACAGCTCTGGTTTCATGTGCTTCTGTATTCCTGAGACGAAATTTAATAGCTGTCCTTGCACGTGAACTTCACAAACGCTCTGCTGAGTCTCAGAAACCCACTGTGCTACCGATGGGTATCCGTTAGGACTAGTAATGAGTTAGAACACGGTAATTTTAAAAGGTAAAAGGTGACAAAAGTAGAGAGTATTAGGTCAAGGGCTCGAAATTTTACATTACCACCGTGGCCTCAAGGCTTCTTCACCATCCCAGGCAGCTGCCAGTCACAGGAGAAGCCTCCATAATGTTAGTCATTTTTCAATACTTGTTTTCCACCTGTCTTGTTCCCGCTACAGTATTTGGTACATGATAAGAGCTCAATAAACGTCTGTGATGGCTGGGCGCCATGCTCCGAGGCTGGCGGGTTCGAACCCGTCCCCAGCCTGCTAAACACAACAAAAAAGCCGGGCGTTGTGGCGGGCGCCTGCAGCCCCAGCTACTAGGGAGGCTGAGGCAAGAGAATCGCTTGAACCCAAGAGTTTGAGGCTGCTGTGAGCTATGACGCCACAGCACTCTACCAAGGGTGACAAAGTGACTCTGTATCAATAAAAAAAAAAAATTGTGGGGTTAACGGGCTTTTTACCAATGGAAAACTGCTAAAGAAAGTGAATCACCCAAAGACACTCCTTACGTTTTAAGGCAGAGCGGCCACGAACGCGGAGGGCTCTTAACCTGCTCTCCACCCACTTGTCTCAAATCCTACGCCGTCACTTCTCAAGCTAAGAAAAATAAAAGGAATAGCTACGCGACCTCTGTGTCTCGAGAAACCGAGAGAACCAAGAACCGGCTTCGGCAACGCCCAGCAAACGCCCCCTAGTACTGTCGGGGTACTGCCACGTGACCACAGCAGCCGTGCCCGTCACGTGACCCGCGACCCCGCTCTGGCGCAGGCGCAGTCAGCTTCTCCCCCAGCCGCTCGCGACCATGGCAGCTTCGCTGGGCGGTATGTTCTCTGGGCAGCCACCGGGTCCTCCCCCACCCCAGCCGGGACTCCAGGGCCAGGCTTCACTTCTCCAAGCAGCGCCAGGAGCTCCGAGACCTTCTAACAGTACTTTGGTAGACGAGTTAGAGTCATCTTTCGAGGTAATCTTGTGTCCACCCCGTCCTCTTCCTGGAAACGATTACTGCGCGTGCGCGCGTTGACTGCAGCCGCGATCCCAGCGGTCAGCTGACACATGGGGAAACTGAGGCTCAGAGAAGTGTCACTTGGTTTAGGGGCCCCGTAGTCGGTATTGTACTCGGGTGTGCTGGCGGAGGATCGTAAACTCGACATCTTTGGAGACACGTGGAATTGAAGTTTTCTTCCTCAGCTTGGAGTTACCATCCCCTCATTGAATGACTTGAAGAGAAGTTATTTTGTATTCTGAAGTGAGATTTTTGATGTGTAAATGATATTTGTTCTTTGTGTTGATCACACAGGCTTGTTTTGCTTCTCTGGTAAGTCAGGACTACGTCAATGGCACTGATCAGGAAGAAATTCGAACTGGTAAGCGCTCTTTCTTTATAGACAATGTTCCTTGCTTCAGGAAGATTCCACATTGCTGATTTTGCACTTAATATGTTTCGGTCCTGCTTATATACTAAGGGAACTTTTTCAAAGAATAAATGTATGCACATAGTCTGTATAAACTGCTGGGGTTTTGTTTAGTTTATTAATTGGTAATCGTATGTTACTCTTGATCCATTTATAATGAGCATTTCATGATGGTACTAGGTAAAGAAGACTAATAGTATATATATTGCTGAAAAATAGATGACATTGTTTTTAAAATAGGTATTATCATCTGTGCTTCCCACTCATCCCCCAAGTTTGTCCCTACAGGTAGTCAGAGCTTCTGATTTCTTTGTGCTATGTTTGAATGTTCCATCAAACTGAAAATTACAATGCTTATTGCTGTATCTCTGCATTGTCTGTTTTCAGAAGGTCTTATGGCTTTCATTTTGTACTAATGTATTTTTTTGCCTGATAAAAGCACAAATTATCTTCTGTTTAATGTTGGTTAACACATGGGAAGTTGGGGGTTATATTATTGCTGTGGCTGAGATTAAAATCCCTGATTCCTCTATGACAAAGTGCTGTTTTGATACTCTTGTTTGTGAGAGAGATCTATGTATCTTGTGTTTTTCTCAATGTAATATTTTGTTCTTTTTTTTAAGGTGTTGATCAGTGCATCCAAAAATTTCTGGATATTGCGAGACAGACAGAATGTTTTTTTCTACAAAAAAGATTGCAGTTATCTGTCCAGAAACCAGAGCAAGTTATCAAAGAGGTACAAATCCAGTTTTTGTATTAGCTTTTAGGAAAACCACATGTTGCTGAGAATCCATTTATGGTTTAATTAAGATGTACACATTTCCTGGGAGTTGCAGTAGGGCTTTATAGATAGAGTGTGAAGTATTGCTAGTTGTTGGTGTTTGTGACAACCTGGAAATTAGTGAAGTCTGTATTTTTCCTGACATCGCTCTGACTTACTCTGTTGTTTTCATTTGAAGGATGTCTCTGAGCTAAGGAATGAATTGCAGCGGAAAGATGCCCTGGTCCAGAAGCACTTGACAAAGCTGAGGCACTGGCAGCAGGTGCTGGAAGACATCAGTGTGCAGCACAAAAAGCCAGCCGACATCCCTCAGGGCTCCTTGGCCTACCTGGAACAGGCGTCGGCCACTATCCCTGCACCTCTGAAGCCGACTTGAGGGAGGGTATGCCAGAGTGCCAGCGGCCTCGGACAGTTTGCCACACGCTTCTCATGGACGTGGTAGCATTTTGGAAGACCTCTTTGCCAGGGAATGAGTTGATTTTAGTTCTATGCTTCCACCTAAAATTTTTCCACTATTTTTATAAGCTGTTTAATTTTTGGAATACTTTTGAAATGCTTGTGGCTTGAGCCACAAGTGAAATATGAATGTGTCTTTTGCAAAGTTGAGACTGTTAGTGTGGTATTATGTACAGATTGTTTTTTATGGGTTTGAGGGCTTTTTTGCTTTTTAAATTTGTGTGTGACTTTCCATCTCTTTGCATGTGCTTCTAGTTGTCAACTTTCTTTGAGCTGAGGGAAAAGACCATTATGTAGCCTGAGAATGCTGGATGAGGATTTTGCTTGGGGGTCCTTTGTGATAATTACCCCATAATGGTAGGGTAGAAAGATAAGTCAGTTTGCTGTGTGTCAATGTTGAACTACCTCAAGAAGAGGAATGTAGTACACCGTGTTCATCTTGTGCCCAGAGCTCTCAGAACAAGGAGACTATAAATAGGAGGAGGAGGAGCATTAAAACGTCCTGGGTTAGTGAAATGTTGGCTGATACTGACGTTTACTTGGGGAAGTTTGTACTTTGTGTGGCGTTTCTTTACTTCTTGATGGGGCGGGATGCAGTGGGTGCAGTGCTGTGCTGAGTTGTTACATTCTACGGTAACGAAGCAGCGTAAAGTGACCGGGCAGACTGTATCTCAGTGCTGTGTTAGTCGGAGCATCAATACTTACTCCAGTCTCTTTGTTTTGAGTTTTTGCCGTGTCATTTTGTTTTGCATTTTGGGAAGGGATGTACTTTCCATTAGGAATGATTATTGCTAATGGATTTGATTCCAGGGGCCTGGGGTCTCAGTATGGGTGGGCTGCAAGGTGATCCTTGGCTACTTAACTTCCATAAAGAGCTGTGGTGCCTCTGCATTGGAGAAGATGCTCTGCTCTCTTGCCGGTTTCATAGGCCACCTCAGATTGTCTGAATTGCTCTTGAGAAAAACAGACTAGCATTGTTCTGTCTCTTATTGGGTGCAGTTTTCCTGAATTTTCTGTATTCTCTTTTTAAATTACATCTCTTTACCCAAACAAAGGTGTCACTGTCTGGTGAACAGGTAGCACAGTACATCTGCGGCTCGGTGTCCTGGGTCCCTTTATTTTCTCCAGCCTTGAAGGTCCTGCTCACACACATTAACATCCAGTTATGTTCCTGGTCTGGGCTGGATGCCACTGCTCCCTGCAGCCTCCTAGTGCCCTTCCTGCTCTCCCCAGGGCATAGGACTTACCTCTCCATCTGGCCCTTACTTGGTTCTCCCTTGTGGGTTAGTGGCTTGTATCTGTCTCTGCCCCTTACTGCACTGTATGCCTGTGAGAATTAGGTATTATTTCCTTCAATATACAGGGACCATACGTTATTTCTTCTATACATGCTACTTAGTTTTTGTTTGTGTGTATTTGTCGTATCTGGCACATGGACCAGGGATTACCAGCTTGAGACTAAGGAATTCCTCAATTGGCATGTATAGGTTAACAGAGTTTTTTACTTATTTATTTTGAGACAAGGTCTCGCTCTGTTAACCTGGCTGGAATGCAGTGGGATCACTTCTTCACAGCTCACTGCAATCTCAGGCTGGGCTCAAGCCTCCTTCCTCAGCCTCCTAACTAGCTAGGACCACAGGTGCCTGCCACCACGCCCAACCAAACAAAGCTTTTATAAGCTCACATTAGGCTTAGTGCCCATAGCTCAGTGGTTAGGGCACGGGCCACATGCACCAGGGCTGGTGGGTTTGAACCTGGCCAGGGCCTACTAAATAACCATAATAACAATAACAAAAATAATAGCCGGATGTTGTGGTGGGTGACTGTGGTCCCAGCTCCTTGGGAGGCTGAGGCATGGGAATCGCTTAAGCCTAAGAGTTTGAAGTTGCTATGAGTTGTGATGCTACAGCACTCTACCAAGTGCGACATAGTGAGACTCTTGTCTCAAAAATAGAGTAAAATAAAATAGCTCACATTACATGACCTCAGTGTTGTTAACCTGGTCATCTTGTGGTGGTTAGAAACTCTGATTGACAGCTTTAGATTTTTAAATTTAAAACTTAAGTAAACTGAGTTAAAGGCATTCTCTCAAAGGAACTCATGGTGAAAAGATTGGGAAGTGTTTTATTTGGTGCTTAGTGAAAATATTTTGAATTAATGCTTGTACCAGTTATTGCCATTTTTTTAATAAACTCAAAATTTTGTCAAGTAAATGTCGTTTTTTGTTTTGTCTGTAAAGGTCTCACTGGTTGATGAACACAGAAAATCCTCTAAAGCTCCTGTCTTCTTCAGGGAGAAAATCAGGAGCCATCCTCTGAGGTTTCCCTGTGAGCCTGTGGGATGCCCTCTGCTGAGTCACTGCCCAGAGTCACACCTGGGCTGGGATGTGTCTTTGAGGAAAGAACCACCTGTAGGTAGTCTTTTTTTTTTTGTATGTAGTCTTTTTTTTTTACAGGACGTAATAAAAAACAGTCCGACAGTGCTCACTGCTATGGTCTGAATAGTGGTCCCCCCAAACCCCCTGCCAAATTCATATGTTGGAATCTCATCTCTGATGTGTTAGTATTAAGAGTTGGGGCTGTTGGGAAGTGATTAAGTGATTAGGGCCTTTACAAAAGAGGTGCGGACAGGCTCTCTTACCCCTTCCGCCCGTGTGAGGACAGGCAGCAAGTGGACATCTGAGAAATGGGCCCTCACCAGATAATGGATCTGCTGGCAACTTGATCTGGACGTGCTTAGCCTTCATAACTGTGAGCAACACATTTCTGTTGTTTATAAATTATCCAGGAGAAGATATTTTGTTTATAGCCCCCAAATAAACTAAGATACACATCTTACTCTGGAAAAGATGAAAAAAAATTTGATGCTGAAAATAATAAGACATGTTACATGTATGGTGACAAGTGTTTATATTTTTAAAATTATCTCATTAGGGTCGCCTTTTGATTAGATAGTAAATTTACATTTGTGAGTCCGAATGCTAACTGCATTTCTCTCAAAGTGATAATTATAAGTATGTAATCAGCTACTTTTTATTCAAAGACCATCTGTTTGATGCTAATGTGAATTTCCTATTTCAAGCTCTGTCTTTATCTAATTTTACCTTTCTGTGGAAAAGCAATACAAGTCACAATCATTTTATTGCCCAGTTTTTTAAAATTTTATTCAAAGAGCAAAGATTTGACAGTGCATAGAATTGACCTGTGTTTGTGGGCCACCTGTGGGGCCAGCACCAAATGATTGAGAAGATAACTTGGCCACTGAAAGTTGCATTGAGTCTTGTCAAATCGCACTGCTCCGGCAGTGGAGGGTAAGACAGTTTGAGAGCTAGGTCAGCATCGTGAGCGGCCAATCCAGAGTCCATGCAATGAGGAAGTAATGTGCCATGAGGCACAGGGCGGAACCCAAAAGCCAGAGGTGTCAAAGAACAGAACAATCTAGAAACCTTCACAAATGAATGAACAGGCTTACATTACAATCACTGAAACTGAGATGTATGACCAGCCAAGGACTGGCTACTCACAAAAAAACCTTGTGCTTAACTTCAGTTCAGGATTGGTGTCTTTACCCATATTCTCTTGCTTAATCCTTGCAAAGCCTCTTCAGAGGTAGATGTAACTGTCTCTGCAATTTGCTGCTGGTCCTAGATGGAGGAAGTCGGAACATTCAATCCAAACCTGCTCCCATCCTGTTCTGGTCGGTTTGGTTTGTTTGCTTTTTAATTGGCCTTCCTGTTTATTTTGAACTTTGTGTCAACTTTTTTTAATTCCTTTTTCTATTGAGGTTACATGTGTGTTTTAGATTTGAATCATTTTATATAGAAACAACTTTTCAAATGGAGGTGACCAGAATCCTAAAATCAAATAAAACTTTCAAAGTAGACCATGGAAATCACAAAGTCTGATATTCCACAAAGTGGAGTATGGTGATATGGACACTAGAAATATAATATATATATATATTTATATATATATATGGCATTAATAACATTTTCCTAAGATTGCTTTTTAATAACACTGTTGTGTTTAATGTCAAGTCTTTTTTAATGAACTGTTTTCACAATGAAACTGTATGAAATATTAATGCCAAAATTTTAGATATCATATATAAATTATACTATTAGCAAGTTATTTGGTGGGTTGGTTTTAGTTCATTACTTCAACCAGATGATGTAAGAGAAATATTTTTCAAGTATCCTCTTTGTAATGTATCCCAGACATCAGCTTAGAAAGAAAAGTACTTAGTAAACCATTCCTGGTGTGCAGAGCCCTGTTTTTGCTGGGCTTCTTTGGGTTGGGCTGTTTCACCATCTGATGTCCTAAAAACAAACAAGCAAAAAGGTTTCTTATATGGTTTTGGAAATCATTCAGTAAACTACCCCACCATCTTTTCAGGATAGACAACCACTTCTTTATCCTTCAAAAGATACCAACATAGTAGCTGTAAAATTGTTGGCTGGGGAGAGAGTGTCTTAACTCCTGTTTTGGAAACAGAAAGTTCACCATTGTTTGGTACTTGTGTTTCTTTTTTTAATTTTTTTTTTTTCTGAGACAGTCGTACTCTGTTGCCCTGGGTAGGGTACTGTGGCATCATCATAGCTCCCAGCAACCTCGAACTCCTGGGCTCAGGGGATCTTCTTGCCTCAGGCTGAGGCAAGTAGCTGAGACTACAGGTTCCCACCCCAACACCTAGCTAGTTTTTAACTATTTATAGTGGAGACCAGAGTCTTGAACTCCTGAACTCAAGCAACCTACCCGCCATGATTGGATTACAGGCGTGAGGCACTGTGTGTCCAGCCTCCAGTGTTTCATTTATGATTTAGTGGTTGGGTCTGATATGAAGGCCCACACCTATAATCCTAGCACTCTGGTAAACCAAGGCAGGAGAATAACTTGAGGTGAGGAGTTCAAGACTAGCCTTAGTGGGAACAAGACTCAGTCTCTACTAAAAATAGACAAAATTAGCTAGACATGGTGGCACATGCCTGTAGTCCCAGCTACTTAGGAGGCTGAGGGAGGAAGACAACTTGAGCCCAGGAGTCTGATGTTGCTTGAGCTATGATGATACTACTGCACTCTACTAGGGGTGACAGAGTGGGACCTGGTCTCAAAAAGAAAGAGAGAGTTAGTGGTTCTGAGATAATTATGTGTGATTGACCCAGCCTACTGATTAAGAGGCTATTAAATTCTAAGATGATAGGACAAATGTTGAAGACGAACCTTAGTAGTAAGAGTGAAAATATATCAGTCTCCTCTGTGATAGGTCCTGTGCTAAGCACATTCTACAGATTAATTCCTTTATTCTGACATCAACCTGATGAGGTAGGTACTGTAGTATCTTCATTTTAGAGGTGGGGATACAGAGACCCAGAGAGGTCAAGTGACATACCGAAGGCCACACAGCTAAGAAAAGGGGGAATCAGAATTTGAATCCAGACCTCAAGGCCAGATGAATGAAGAGAGTCTACCTTCCATGTAACCCATGTGGAAGTTTTCAGCCAGGTGATTCAGTATCTCTTGTCTGATCAGCCATGAAAAATGGCCTTTTGAAACTGGTACTAAGAATAATACCTCTCCCCCCAAATGACAATTCTCTTCTCTTCAATCATCTTCCCTTTTGGCTGGATTGTTATTTCTCCAAGGGCTTGTTTTGCTACTTTTTTGTATCTGCCCAAATGGCTACATATTTCAGAGGTTCCAGAAAGGATCCTAATTTCCTGTCTATGGGGAAATGGAATAACAGCATGTTTCCCCACCTTCCCCACCCTACCTTGAGGCAGTTTTTGCATCCAGAGACTGTGTGGGTTTGTAAGGCCGGCCACCACTGGGGCTGGGGTCCAAGCTGGGTGACTTGGTTATTGGAGGAGCATTGATCCTGGAGCTCAGATCACCACTCAGGAAGTTCTTTGCATAGGAGGCGAGGTTTGGCACGCTGACCACTCGGCTGGGCACTTCCTCTATCTTCTTTTTCTGTTTGTATTAAAGGAAAGGTCTGTTAGTGTTGCATTTTTTAGAAAGGCATTATTGTCTCAAATGCCTATGCTCAGTGGCTAGGGCGCCAGCTACATATACCAAGGCTGGTGGGTTTGAACCCGACCCAGGTTCAAACAAACAACAATCACAACTGCAACAAAAAAAATAGCCAGGCAATGTGGTGGGCACCTATAGTCCTAGCTACCTGGGACACAAGAGGATCACTTGAGCCCAAGAGTTTAAGGTTGCTGTGAGCTATGATGCCACTGCACTCTACTGAGGGCAACATAGTAAGACTCTGTCTCCAAAAAAAAAGGCACTATTATAAAAGTAAATAAGGCCCACTCAACCAAAATTATGTCGGAGAGGAGGCAACAATTTCATTTATATACTTGCATGTTACTTTTTTAAAGCATTCTCCCCTCCGATCTTCATTTTGTATTTTAAAAACATACATAGGTTCATAATCTTTTATCCAAAACTTCTAGACAGACATGTTCATAATTCAAAAAAGTTTTTTTATTTTTTTATCTCAGAAGGGCATATAACACCTCCAGCAGGTGCTTGGCCCCTATCCTCAAATGCATTAATACTTAACATTTTGTCAGACTAACAAGGAGCCATAAAAAACTATAAATGAGATTATATCAGTTAGAGTGAAATTGGGTTTATTCTATGAGCTTTACAAAATACTATCTTTTTTTAGAGCTTTTATGATTTTTTGATAACAGAGACTTGGACAGGAACATGTAGTCTATAACTTTACAGAAATAAAGTAGAAGATTCTTATTCTCTCCTCTCTCCTTCCCATCACCGAGATAGAACTATCAAGTGCCCATTGACCCATGAATGGATTAATAAATTGTGGTATGTGTACACCATGGAATATTACGCAGCCTTAAAAAATGATGGAGACTTTATCTCTTTCATGTTTACATGGATGGAGCTGGAACATTTTCTTAGCAAAGTATCTCAAGAATGGAAGAAAAAGTATCCAATGTACTCAGCCCTACTATGAAACCAATTTATAGCTTTCATATGAAAGCTTTAACCCAATTATAGCCCAAGAAGAAGGGGAGAGGGAGGGGAGGGGAGGTGGAAGGATGAATGGAGGGAGGGTAATTGATGGGACCATATCTACATGGCATCTTACAACGGTACGTGAAATTTACTAAGTGTAGAATGTAAATGTCTTAACACAATAACTAAGAAAATGCCCTGAAGGCTATGTTAACCAGTTGATGAAAATACTTCAAATTGTTTATAAAACCAGCACATTGTACCCCATGATTGCATTAATGTACACAGCTATGATTTAATAAAAAAGAAAATTTGAAAAATACAAAAGCCCATACAAAATAAAAAGCACACATGACCTGCCCAGCCAGATATAAACACTTGGGACTATTTTACTGTGGGTCATTTCTTGTGATGAATAGTCTTCTGACCCTATGCCAGTCCACCAATACACTGCACTTACCTTCAGGAAAAATGAACCCAGCATAAATGTGTAATTTGTTAAAAACAGTAGACTCAATTTACCTTCATGGAAGGGGTCAAGTAACCCGGATGAGGATTGAAGGAAAAAGACCGGTTCCGATGGGACATGGAGCCAGGGAAGGCTGCACGGTGCAATCGTCTCTCTTCCTGGAAAACCGGTATAACCAAGTATAAATGAGCCTGAACACAGCGCTGGGTTCAACTTGAAGGAAAATGGCTGTGAGGCCAGAATATAGAGAGAAAGTTAAGTTCCAGGGAAGGAGGGAAAAATCAGCAGGAATTGACTGCCTGCCCCTGAAGCTTTGTGAAAGCACCTTTATATCCCCAGCCCCTCCTGTCAAGGGAAGGGCCAGCTTATGCTCTAGGAAGTTAGAGATTCCAAAGCTTCTTATCATCTGAAAATAAACTGCAGAAAGCTAATAATTCAGAAAAAAAAAAAGCTCTCAGGTGCACAAAGGATTTCCCTTTCCTTCTTACCTTTCTTTTGTTTTAAATTAGTATCATAGAATTATTTATTTATTTATTTGAGACAGAGTCTCACTTTCTTACCCAGGCTAGAGTGTTCTGGTATCAGCTTGCCTCACAGTAATCTCAAACTCCTGGGTTCAAGTTATCCTCCCGCCTCAGCCTCCTTGGTAGTTGGGACTACACATCCCCACCATGATGCCTGCTGTTTTTTAGTAGAGACGGGATCTGGATTTGCTAAGGCTGCTCTCCAACTGCAGAGCTGAAAGGATCTCCTCCCTGGGCTTCCCAGAGTGCTAGGATTATAGGTGAGAGCCACAGCACCTGGCCTGACATTTTCTAACATACGAAAGAGAGGGTAGTACAATCCAGCTCCCACTTTAGCAGTTCTAACTGTATGGCCAATCTTGTTTGTTTGCGTCATTTCTTCTGCCCTTTTCTCCCCTGCTGTATTTTTTGTTTTTGAGACAGAGTCTCACTTTGTTGGCGTGGCTAGAGTGCCCTGGCCTCATAGCTCACAGCAACTTCTGACTCTTGGGCTCAAGGAATCTTCCTGCCTCAGCCTCCAGGGTAGCTGGGACTACAGGCGCCCACCATAATGCCTGGCTATTTTTTTGTTGTTGAGACGGTCTTCCTTTTGCTCAGGCTGGTCTCAAACTCCTGATTTCAACCAATCTACCCGTTCCGCCTCCTAGAATGCTAGGAATACAGGTGTGAGCCACTGTGCCCGGCCTGCTGTATTATTTTTCAAGTCAATTGTCGTCATCATGTAATTTTTAATGTAAAAAAATTATATATAAAAGCTAAAGATTCCTTTTTCAAAAAAGAATAACCATAACATCTCTGTTACTCTTAGCCAACGAGCAATAATTTCTTTTTAATACCTAATTTTCAGGCAGTGGTCACGGCTGGAGGCTGGAGGAAAAATGGAAGTGAGGTGGGTGGGTGGAAGCAGACAGGTCCGGAAGTTTGGAGGATATTTGCATAATCACAGGAGCTGGGTTTGCTAATTAAAATATAGTCATTTTTACAAAAGGAAGATCAATAATGAATTCAATCCTACTAATATCCAAAAATAAAGCAAACCATTCTAGTATTTCTCAAATTAGGCGACTTAAAAAAAAAAAAGCCAATATGAACACCAGGCAAATGCTGTTGGATCTGTGATTAGAGTGGGTTTTTTCTTCTATTTTCCTGTATTAAGTTTTTTAGCAATATGAGTTTTTTTAATAATAGGAAAAAAATAAAGGAGTCTTTGTAAGGCCAAATTGTAGGCACATGGAGAAATGTCAAGTGCAAGTGAGCGCCCCTCCCGAGGACCCGCCGCCCGCCAGGTGCGTGGGCGAGACCGGCAACCTCACCGTGAGCTGCTTGATGATGTCCTCTCTCTCCTTCAGGAGGCTCTGCAGACGGCCTATGAGCTGAAGGTCCTCGGGCCGGGATGCTCCCTTCCCGGGTTTCTCTCCGGAATCTTTGAGTCTGTTTCAAGCAGGCAAGCATTTAGTCCCTTAAGTACTCAGAAAAGTGGAGGGAGATGAAGCGGACAGGAAGGGGACGCTTCTGTGTGCTCGCTTAGCCTGGCCAGCGGAGGCGCAGACGGCAGCAGAGGCTTGGTCAGGGCCACCTGTGATTGGCTGCAGAACCCTGGACCCCAACTCCCAATCTGACCTCTGCCGGTTACCTCGAGGCTGCAGGGTCCGGGAACCAAAGGTCCGCGCGTGCGCATGGCTGTTGCGCCCAGCGAGGCTGCAGGAGCCAGGGATGCCCCTGCAAGCCGAGTTCTGGGAAGGAAGGAGCCCTGAGCCTGCCCGAGACCAGCTGGCTCTGCTGAAGCCGACGTGGCTCTGGCGCCACCTGCTGGTGGACATGGAGCAAGGCCGAGGAGCGCAGGTGGTACCCACTGCCCTTGTGGTGTGAAGCCAGAGAGGGTAACTTTGAGAGGTGGGGGTAACTGGAGTTAAGGCTGCAGACCACCCACTGGGTGTAGTTAGTAAGAGGCCAAGGCTTTGGGACAAAACGATCTGGGCTCTAATCTCGGTTCTGGTTTTTAAATTTTTTTCTAGCTATGTGACTTTGGGCTTAGCGTTTCACCTGTTAAATCTCAGTTCCCTTCTCTTTAAAATGGGCTTAAAGCTGGGTGGTTGTGAGGACTGGATGAGGCGATGAGTGTCTGGCTTATAGAAAGTTCCCGTTAGGAGGTTGCTGGTAAAACCTCTCCTGCAGTATCTGGATAATTTGTACTGGGGACAGTGGAGAACAGTTTTAAGAGAACAGTTTGTTAAAGGTCAGACAGGGGACATTTAAACTCAGTGCTGCCTGACCTTGGGCAAGTTATTTCATCCATCTGAACCTGGATTATTGCAATCACATCTTAAATGGTCTTCCTGCCAATCACCCTTCCCCTGGTCTCTTCTCTCAGCAGCCAGAAGTGTCCCTATGAAAAGGTAACATCAAGCATGTCATTCTTGCCCAAAGCCTTGTCATGGCTCCCAAGGGAACTCTGAACACACCCAAACTCCTTCCCATTGGGGTGGGACCCTCATTTCTCACCACTTACCCTCCACTCAGTTCAGCCACATGAGAGTTTTCTACCTATTTGCAGTCACTTGAAGGTCACAGGGCCTTTGCACCACCTATTCCATCTGTTTGGAATTCTTTTCCTGCACAGAGCTTTTGTGTTCCCTCACCTCACTGTATCACCTCCTCTCTAGATCAGCGGTTCTCAACCTGTGGATCACGACCCCTTTTTAACAATGAAAATACATTGCGGTATTAGGAAGGTTGAGAACCACTGCTCTAGATCCTGATGCTGTCTTTTTCTGACTCTTTCACTATATGGCATGAAGTTAAATATCTGCTTATTTTTTATATGAACCCTAGTTCAGAATGTGTAAGTGTGATGAGAGCATGGCCTCTGTTTTGTTCCCTGTTATAACTTGAGAGCTTAAATAGGGCAGGGCACACATCTGGCCCTTAGCAAATATTTGTGGAATGAATAAATGCACACATGCCTGCATGAGAGACTAGCTTTCTTTATCTGTCAGTGGGAATGGCAGTTTCCACCTTAAAGTGCTGTTGTGAAGATTGAATGAGATGTTGTAAGTCAGAACAGAGCAGACGCTCATTAAAAAGCAGCCCTGACCCTTCTGATTTCTTCCAGGTATGAGGGTTAACCCTGTCCACTGGGACAGTGCTCATTCTCAGACTCCCAGTGCCCTGCATGAAAGAAGACTGCAGCCTCATAAACAACGGGTGACCAAGCTCTCTAGTTTGCCTGGAGCCTGAAGGGACTCAGGACTTCCAGCTTTAAAACTGAGAAAGCTCAGGAACACTGGGATTAGTTGGTACAATGCTGGTCTCTCCCACCCTAGGGCAAGACCTCACTCACTCAGCTTCCAGGGCAGCCAGCCGGGCCTGGAGCTGGGTCTGGGCACTGCTGAAATCTGCCACCATGGCCTGCATCTCCTTCCGGTGTTCCTGGCGAAGTGCCTCCACCTCCCTGGCCCGCTGGGCTTGTTGGCTCTCCTCCAGCAACCTGCAGTGGACAGAAGCACAGCCAGGCTTGCCCAGGCCCCCAGGATTCAGCCCTTGGGCTATGGAGTTTCTTCCCCTGTTGCCAGATGGCCCGATTTAGGACACCCTGGGTAGGGGGTAGGAGGTTTTGAATCTGAGGTCAGGACCCATGCCTGTGGAAATAAGCTGGAATCTCTGAGTTGAGGAGTTTAGGATCAGCTCTGCTGTGTAGCCCCTTCTCAGCACCCTCCCACCCCAGCATGAGGACAGCCTTGGTAGGGGAGGGGTGGAGAACAGAGAAGCCTCAGAAAACACTCAGGGGAGGCAGGGAGGCACTCCATCATTTCCTAGCTGTGCAACCTTGGGCAAACCATTTCCCACTGTGTCCTCATCTGTTAATGGAGGTGACAGTCACACCTAACTTGCAAGGAAGAATCATATTAATACATGCCAAGAATAGTCTGTGGCATAAAGTACTTACCCAACCATTAGCTATCATTTTTCTTTCCTTGGAGGTGAGGCACTGAGGGGTCCACAGGAAAGCCTTATGCACCTGTCACCCTCACAAGGTACAAGCAAAACTTTTCCAGAAAAGGGACCATTGCTTTCCTAACTTGGAGGGAGCTGTAACCCAAAATGGGTAGGAGTCCTGCTCTAATCTAACCTTCTTACTCTAGAGATTTGCCAGGGTCATACAGTGAGTCACTAACAGAATCTAAGGTGTCCATCTGTGCCAGGAGGACTCATGGCTGCTTGTCAGATGAGCCTCAGGTCTGCTCTCTCGGAGAGGGTGGCCCCAGGACCTCAGCCTAACTGGGGCCTCTGTCCCTTCACAGCTGCGCGAGAGCCTGGCAGGGGAACTCCTGTCAGCCTTCAGTGCAGGACTCAGAAGGACTCCTTTCTCCCAATGGGAGCCCTCATCCCCCCTGCACTGGGCACAACAGTCACCTGGGGCCTCTTCCACACCTGGATCCCTCGGCCACTCCTCAGACCCATGGCAACTGGCACAGGGCCCAGAGTATTTATAACAAAGCTCCCAAGGGGGCATCTCTGGCTGGAATCTATGTCCCAGAGCTACCTCAGGTCTCCAGGACACCCTGGTTAATCTTAGCCAAGTGCTTCTGCCCGGAGAAGGAGGATTCATCCCTGTTATCTGGAACATTCCCTCACCGTGGCAGTTTACTTCAGTAAGAGTGAAATAAAGGACTCACAGATAGGAAGGCGGAGGTGCTCATCCTGCCATCCTGGTGTCTCAGCATCAGTAGCTCCTGGGACTTTGCTAGAAATGCCAATCCTAACTAGTTCTAAGTAATGCTGGTCCCAGGCTCAACTCCAGCCCTACTGAATCAGAAATGCTAGGGGGTAGCACCCGTGCACGTGAGTTCCACAAGCCTTCCAAGTGATGCTAATGTAAGGCAAAGTTTGAGAACTGTAACAGCTGTGGTGTGCCAAGCATTGTTCCAAACATTTCACATGTTGTGTCTTCTAATTCTCCAACAGCCTGTGCTCTGGGCTGTCGTCCTCCCGCAGTCTAGGCAACTAAAGCATGGAAAGCTTAAGAAACTTGCCCAAGATTATGCATAAGAAGCTGTTACAACTGTTCGCCAAAGTGGGAAGTGATGGGAAGAAGTTTCTATAACCTCCCTGAGCCCCCTTTCCTCACCTTCATAAAGAAGTGGTTGTGAAAATTAAATGAACAAACACAGCCAAGGCTCTAAGCAGTTTGGGGCTGACCCAGCAGGCTTCAACATACATAACTGGCAGATATTGGAAAAGGGAACATCATTCAGACACTAGACTAACAAGAAAAGGAAATATGAACAACTTTATGCCTGGGACTGGGACCTTCAAAAACTTACATGAAGTAGAAAAATTCCTTGAAAGTTACAAATAGCTAACATCCCCTCAAGAAGAAATGGATAACCTTGAAAATCCTATATCTATTAAAGAAATTGAATTTGTATTAAAAGCTTTCCAACGAGAGGGCAAAAACAGCTGTGAATTCCGGATTGATTATAAACTATCAACACGCACAATCAACCGAGCGCGTCCTCCAGGCCACAGAGCGCCCCCACCCCCCACCCCGCGCATTCCGTGCCCTGATTCCCGGTACAATAGCCCTAATGGCCACATCTTCTCCACATTTCAGAGTAGGACTCAGCCTGGGAGAGGGCAGCGGACTCACCCAGCATCACACAGCTAGTTAACAGCCCACCCCACTGTCTGAACTATTCTGCTAGACTGTATCCCTAAGCTTGGATTCCAGGACACTTTTGGTACCTTCTAGGGCTAATAAATTCCCTGATTTGCAGGGAAGTAGGACCCCTCTTTTATTTCTGGGCAAACCCCGGGCAGCTGTGAAATTTCGGATTTTTAGAGCAGTAGAGGAACATCAGTAGAACGGTCCTGAATTAAGTGTCTAGTGTCTTTTAGGGGGAACGGTGCTGAGGGAGCGACCCCGTCGCAAGTGCAGGGAGGGAAGCAGGCTGGGGGCGGGGCGGGCGGGCGGGCGAGCGCACCCACCTGCGCTGGTCGCGGAGCTGCAGCGCCTCCTGCTGGTGTTGCTCCGCCTCGGCGCGCAGCTGCCGCACCACGTCCCTGAGCTGCGCGTTTTCCTCCTGCAGCCCGCAGGCCTCGCCGGGCCCCTGCTCAGCGGCAGTGTCGGCTGGGGAGACTCCCTGGCCCGGGCCGTCCCGCTCCTGAGGACAAGGCATCCAGGAGAGGCGTTCTCAATTACACACGGGGCGCTGCGCTCCGCCTGGAGCCCAAGTCAGGGGTGTGTGTGTGTTGGCCAAATCTGGCCCGCAAGGACTTTAATTAAGCTAGTGTGCCAAGAATGTGGCTTGCATCCAAATGAGCGACACACCCACCTCCCCTCCACCCCCTCACCTCAACCTCCCCCAGGAGTGTCCTCCCCACCTAAACTCACTGCCTCTGTGTGGTCGCCCGACCCCCCCAGGGGAGAATGGATAAGCTTCTTCTTGTCCACAGGAGTGACACAAAGTGACTCCCGTGTTTGCAAGCTGGTTGCCTCCACTAAGCTGAGAGCTGTGGGCTCACCTTCCCAATTCTTCGGCACCTAACAGTGGCATTCAGTAGGTGCCACATGAACCCTTGCTCAGTGGAACTGCTAGAATGTCAGTGGTTGAGCTAGAAACACAGGCTGATGTCCACCATTAAATGGGGTCAGATTTAATCTGGGAGGAATGGATGAATGTTAGTTTTCAAATTCACTCAAACATGCCTAAGGCATGTGCATCTGTGCCAACGTTCACGCAAACGTGAAGGGCTTTGTGCATCTATGAGCCTTCCCCACACCTCTTCCTTCTTGTCCTGGGGACTGCATGGTGTGGACACCCTAGGCACTCACCTGCCACTCCCATATGCATAACCCGGAAGAGCAAGGACTGAGGGTGCACCTCCTTGTGGGGACCACCTCTGAGCATGGAGACAGAAGCAGATGGAAAAACGTGTCCCCCTATTCTCTCTGGGGAGACCCATAGGAGAATTTCTTCACAGGGCTATTCAGAAGATCCCAGCAGATGGAACACCACTGAACCTCCGTGGTGGCAGCTTGGGACTGCATCCTTGTATTGTGTCCCCTCCTCCCTCCCACTTTGACTCCTGCTGCCCAGGCTGTCCTTCTTTGCAGATTGCCCTACGTCTGCTCTCGGTGTGGCCTGTCACCTGAGGCCACTCTCTTCCAGATGAAGGTGAGAGCTGGCACAAGCCTGGCCAGGTATGGTTTCATGCACTCAGGGCTCCCTGATTTCCATCCAGAGCCCTGGGGTGAGCACAGACTCCTGTCCTGGCCCAGTTACGGGCTGTCACCATCCTCCATTTCCCCTGTCCCCTTCTGTAGGTACTGGGGGGAGGAGGGCTCCCACAGATCTAGAACCCTAATGGAACATATTCTGTCTTCCCTCTGCTAGACTGGCTTGCTAGTTGAACTCTCTATGATTCTTCATTTGCTAATGTTTCTTGTGTCAACACGGAAATCATCCTCCTGTGCTCAGCCCCAGTGAGACCTGGCATGAATGATTCCAGTGTCCCCTGAACATTCAGCAAGGCTGGCATACCAACTTATCATCACAGCCATGGGTGCAGACTCTGCTGACTGCTGGGAGTGGAGTAGGGACAGGATGAGGCTGAACAGATGCAGCTTATTCTCAGAAACTCCTAATCCAGGCCAAGCAACAAGAACATGCCTGAAATGTTGGGTCTCTAACAGGACATGTGGCAGATTCTGGCACCAGGGGAGCTGTCCCAGCAGCCAGTGCTCCAGGAACCCAGAGGGGGAGAGGTTGCAATATGCAGGGGAGGCCCCTGGCATGAAAAGGTGTGCTAGGTGTCCCAGGCAGGATCAGTGGTACATGCAAAGGATGGAGGGAGGGTGCAGACACCAGGTTTATTGGCTGAGGGGGCATATGGCTGCAGATACAGGTGAAAGCCATGGTGTAGGCTTTTCAAGGTCAGGTTGAGGCATTGAAGTTTATTCTAGTGGGAGCCACCACCGAAGGCTTTATGAAAAGTGGTGCTGGGCTTTAGGCAAATACTTAAAGCTGTGTGTGACAGGGAGACAGGCTTGGGCTGTTAGGAAGTTCCTGTGCTGCCCATCTTGACCAGGGATGCTGGACTCAGGGCATGGTTTGAACAGGAGGTTGAAGGACAGCCATAACTGAGCCTAGGTGGCCATGAGGCTGCTCCATGAGGAGCATGGTCAAGACCAGGAGTAGGGCGCCGGCCCCATATACTGAGGGTGGCGGGTTCAAACCCACCAGTTGCAATTGTTGAACTGCAACAACAACAACAACAAAAAATAGCTGGGCGTTGTGGTGGGCACCTGTAGTCCCAGCCACTTGGGAGGCTGAGGCAAGAGAATTGCCTAAGCCCAAGAGCTAGAGATTGCTGTGAGCTGTGACGCCATGGCACTCTACCAAGGGCAACAAAGTGAGACTCTGTCTCTAAAAAAAAAAAAGACAAGGAGTCTGTCTGGGAAGTGTTCTGAGACAGTCCCCTGCATGTGCAAAGAACACACCCAGACCAGCTGTGCCGGGGGCCCATCTGGCACGGACACCGTCTGATGCTGTTGTGTCTGAATTGTAAATAACATGCAGCACTTAAGACCATAGGTTTGGTTTGGTTTTTTTTCTTTTCAAAGATATTTCCTGGCGAGTATCCCCCATGTCTATGGAAAAGAAAGAAGAAGGATCTTCCCCACTTCAGACAAGGGAGCACCAAGTACCCAGAGACTCTTCTTTACTGGGCTTCTCCCTACAGCCTGAAGCTGCTCCAGAAGGGGTGTGGCCTGCACAGGGCCAAGTGCACTGACCTCAGTGGTGGTGGCATGGTCCTCACTGTCCCCTGGACACTGGCTGATGGCCTGTTGACTGCCTGAGCTGCCCAGGGTCCTCAGCTCAGCCTGCAGCACCTCCAAGTCCTTCTGGTGCTTGGAGCAGGTAGCCTGCTGCTCCAACAGCTCCTGCCTGAGGGACTCTGGAGAAGAGAGGGCAGGGGAGGGTCAGGCTCAGGGTCAAGGTGAGAGTCCATCCTGAGGGAACAGCAGCCTATGGGGCAGGGTGGCGTAGGTAGCTACAGAAGGCTTTGGGTTGAGTTCCCCAAACTTCTTCCAAGGTAACAGTAACAGCATGTACTGAGGACTAAGTGTGCTAGACCCTTTAAAAAACGGCACCATAGCCATCCTGTCTGGTGTGAGTTACTGTCTCCCCCTCTCCACCCTTGCTCCATTTTAGAATGGGAGAACTGAGCCTTACAGAAGGTAAGCCAGTGGCCCAAAGCCACACAACCGTTAAATGGTGGAGTAGAGATTCAAAACTTCGGGTGGTTCTTCTTCATTAGGAACCACCTGCTTGGCCACCACAGGTTGGTTAGAATGGGCAGCAGGTGAGGGTGAGGAGGACCAAGTTCAGAGCTAACTCCTGAGGCAACACTTGGGCTTCAGCAACAAGTTGAGAAATCAAGTGAGAAGAGAAATTTTCAACTGATGCAGGGGCCTCTTCTGGGGGTCAGGGTTGTTCTTAATTTGGGGATTTTGACATTATGTCAATTCCTATGGAGATAAAACAGTCACAGGTTCTTGAGATCTTGGCTGGATCATGGAGGTAGGAGATGGCATGCCTTCCCACAGGATGGGGGCTGAAATCCAGAACTGTCCAGGAGAAACAAATAAGCTCTGTCAAACTTAAGGGATAGGAAGGCCAGAAACTTGAGTTTCTCTTCTGAGGATGCTGAGTGATTTCTAGGAGGATGCTGAGTGATTTCTAGGGGATGCTGAGTGATTTCTAGGAGGATGCTGAGTGATTTCTAGGAGGATGC